CCCTCTCGTCACCTACTACCTTTACAAGATTTCCGGAAGGTTACAAAAGTAGAACCCAGATACCCATACCTGATCATCCTGGTAGGACATGAAATATAACCGTTTAGAGCTCAAAATCCTATGCAGCTTATCTTCCTGACTCAAATATTGACCCGTTTAAATAGGAAACCAATACTTAAACTGAAACAGCTCTTCAGAAGTAAGTAGGTTTCTTGTTAATTAAAGCAAAACCAACGTCTCAAACTTTTCAGTTATAAAACAATGGCCACCTGAAGACAATACCAAATGTGCAGATTCCAACAAATACTGTTCAAAATAAACTGTAAATTAAACTTCTCACCTTGCATCCTGGTCACCAGAAAGAAAGTAGAACCATAATGACCAGAATTACAGAATTCTGCTTCAAGGTGCAAGCCACAAGTTTTTGCAGGGGTACTAGGAAAGGTACAGATAAAATTTCTCTTCCAGAGTATGTTGATTCTATAGATTTTTCTTTATTTACAGATTTGGCTGGTTTCTCCTCTACTCAGCCATCTATTAATAAGTAAGACACAAAAGTCTCAAAAGGTTAAGTCTAGCTGTAACCAGCCGGCACAGACCGTATGATCTTATGAAGTTTCTTTTTTTTTTCCTTCCCAGCAGGAGAGAAAGAGGCTAAAAAAAGCCGCTGAGAGTGCATACTGATTTTTCAGTCACTTGTTTTCCCTGAATTTTTTTCCCATTAGAACTGCAGACTCCTGTATATTGAAACTCAATGGTAATAAGGTTTTTCTTGTCAACTATTTCTCAAGAATCTCTTAGATGTAGTGCAAAAAAACTCCAGGGGCTCTGCTGACTAAAGAGTTCACTGTAGTTTTCAACTTACTAAAACAGTGTGCCTCAGAAAGGGACTGATTCCTGCAGATACCAATAACAATTGACATACAATGCAAAGAGAAAAATGAAATAAGCTTCCGAGCCCATTGTCTATCACTGTAAACTGAAGGAAGCAAAAACGGCTCCCCCACCCCAACATTTCTGCAAGCTTCAAACTGATCTAGAAATTGCAACTTGAATCAAGTCTCAAAACAATTTAAAATAAGTATTTTGTTCCCTTCGTACTGCAGGAACGTACTGAATGCAAACAGTATTGAGAATTGCCCAGACATGCACTTTTAAAAATCCTACAATTACACAGGCTGCAGAGTCCTCAACACACCCTGCGCCAAGATTTGATGGGTCAAAGACATATTTATATAAGGAACTATTTTAACTGGTCCTTCCTATTCACAGTGTACTGTCTCACAAGGCTACTTTAGTATCTAACAGACTCCATACTGGAATCACTTCTATTATTCTCAGTCATTGCTTTCTGTCTGATCCATGACAGCTTCTACAGTTATGAGCAGTTGTACTTACTACAAAAATATTCTGTATTCTATCTCCCTAACAATCACGCTGTACTAACATTTACACAATTTGGAAGTGTACAACATAGACAGTTATGCATACAGATGAAAAATACACAGGAAAGGCGGGCGAGTACTCTTCTCAAGTGCAGATTCTGGGAAGGCTACATCCTACAATATTGACAACCTAGGACAAAATCTAGATTTTCATTACATCCTTAGTTCAGCCATCCTATGCTACAGCAATTAGCATCTGAACTACATAATTAATGTTTTGGTCCAGTAAGTACCAAATCTGAGAATACTACTACTTCATACTGCATTTAAGTTTGTCTGTCAACAGGTGTATTCAACATATTCTGGGAACATCAGGATCCCTGCCAAGCCCAAGAAGGCTCTGAATAACAATACCCATCAGGCTGCATCAGGTCAAAGACACAGAACGTTTTTATAATATTCCCTCACACAGATACATGCCAATAACACAAGAGTGGAATCTACCAAGTTTATTAACCCTAAAGAGGGAAAATGTATTACTTTGTATATGAACTGGGTTCTCTATTGCTACTGAACTCTGTAACACCAACATTATCAGCATGATACTATATCAAATTTGAGTAATTACTTTTTTTTATGGGCTTGCTCTAATTTAAAATAAAAGGCCACCCTTAATTTCCAAAGGAAACAATATACTTCAGAATTATTTCAAATATTTGCTGGCCAGTAGAGGAAAAAAAAGCCCTGATACATACTACTGGCAAGGCAAGCCAGATACATTTTCGGTAAACGTATCCAAATCTGTCTCCTCCAGCTGTATTTAACTGTATGGATGTAAGGTCACAACGAAATATAAAATATGACCTGTCTGGTAGGTTTATAAAGTTGACCTGCTAACCATAATCAATGCACACATACACTGCAATGTGAAAGTACAGTCACATGATTATTTGCATAATTATCTGCTGCTTAAATATCCAGCTGTAAAAATGATCACAGTACAAGGCCTATCAGGAAAGGGTGAAGGATAATGTATACTAGCACAGTGAATTTTTTTTCACTTAACCTCACAGAAAGGAGCATTACATCACACTCTTACAATGCAGGAGGAGGGGCCTGTTCTCAGAAAGCAAGCTTCAGCTATTTCCCTTTAATTTTCTGCTTGGTTCTGGAGGGAGATGCAAAAATAACTTGGGTTTAGATTTTTAGTAACATAGAAGATGGAAAAAAAAAAAAAGCGAGAAAACACAGCTTTTTAGCTACCTTTCCTAACGTGCCGATGAACAGCCGTTTTATAAAGAATACAGAGCAAAAGTCTACGAAACAGCAGCAGCAGCAGCTAGCACCTCGCATTTGCAAGCCTGCATTCCTAAATATCTGCCCCACATTTTATCAGCCGCCAGACCCGTCAAGCAGAGGAGGCTGCCCGTACTTCTGGGCAGCTGGAGGCGGCCAGACCGTTCCCAAGCCGGCGCTCCCTGGCGCCCCGAGCTCGCCAGAACTCCCACCCACGCCTGGCACTCGGGAGTGTTTGGGTGCCTGGGTTTAGGGTTTTGTTTGGGTTTTTTTTAATTTATTTTTTTTTCCCCTCCCTGGGAAGGGGGGCCCGGTGAGAACACTTCCCCATCTGTCCCTTGTCGGACCCAGCAGCAGAAAGAATGCAAACCCGGTTTTATATATGCAAATTTTTGCAGCAGATTTAAGAGCTTCGGGTGCTGTGGGGAAGAAATCACTGTTTAAGAAGCCCCTATTTAAATAAAACAAGATTTTCAGTACTGTCTCCTCCTTCACCGGCTTGGAAAACACAAACGATCTTCTGTAATTTGCCTCAGTGCTCAGTTTAAATTACAAATCTCTTCAAAATCCACAATACACTTCTACGGAGACCGCCTTCTAAAAAGCCCGAAAAATCCACTAAAAGTGCTTTCCGCGTAAAACGAGACAACGCCTGAAGCAAGCATTTGTGCTAGAAAGAACACCCCTGCCACACCACGGCTGGAAGCGCTCGGCTCAGGCTCTTACGAACCTACCGAGAGGTAAGAACAAGAAGAATAAAATATAAACGTACCACTAACCTCATAAAGTGCAGCAGTGCTTAAATCCAGCGAGTTGAGGCATACAAGGTAGAAATGGAAATGAAAAAAAGATCCAAAAATGATTCTGTGTTTGCTTTTTTTTTTGTTTTTGTTTTTGTTGTGTTTTTTTTTTTAAATTCTTATTCTTATTTCAAATGTTCAGAAACCAGCAGAGACTCTGTCGGCCATTTTGGCTTGAACTCCCTCACTCACTCTCCTCTCGCTCCCTCCCTCTCGCTCCCTCTTGCTCTCTCTAAAGGAAGCAGCTTTTTGTGACCTTCAAATAGAGGCCGGTCATGTGACTCCAGGCAGGCTGTCAATCACGAGGCGGGGCGGGCCGACTTCCCGCCTTAAAGGGGCAGCGCCCTGCCCGCGCCGCGGGACGGCTGCTCCCCGCCGCTCCAACGCGCTCTTCCCCCCGCTTGGGTCTTCTCCCTTCGTCACGCAAAGGCGACGCGCAGAAAAACAGGGGAGCCGTGAGAAGGCGGAGAGCAGCTCAGCCGGGGCTTTTCGCTTGAAAACGAGCTGAAAATAAAGCAGGCGGTCACGCCAATCCCACATCCAGGCTGCAGAACCACTCAACGGCGAATAATGACATGTCGAAGTCCCACCAGCCACGCGCGCTCTTCTGCGCTGCGCCCAGGGGACACTTGAGCCTAGCGCTTACCTCGAGAGGAAACCACATTTTAAGTACCCCCATCCCGGTCCAAGGACAAGAAGAGGTTGGGCTTTGGTTGACAACGAATCCAGGCTGCCCGACACGCACGCGTAAACCCGGGCCCCGGGTTCAGAGGCACGAACACCTGCAGGACAGCAGAGCAAACTCGGTCTCTCCTACTGCCTTGCCTGTTTTTAAGTCTCAGGCTGCAACTCAATCGTTAGGCAGGCGCTTGATAGTCTCTTCCCACGGTTTCCATAGGATAAACGCTCCAACAGTTGAAAGAGAGAATCCCAACGTGTTGCAACATTAAAAAAAAAAAATGTGCAGGATGTTCCCAGACATTACTCTGGATGCGCAGAAACAGTAAAGAAGACAGTTCAGAAACATTATGAGGCAACACAAGCATGATTCTGCTGCGAGGAGGCTTGCTCCGGAGTCAGCCCAACACAGGCAACACGCGCTCGAACCGACTGTGTCAGGTACCCCAGCCTGGCGAGGTAACCCACGCCAGCTCGGGAAGCTCACGGAGCACCCTCGAGATTGAACCCTTAAAACACCCAAGTTGTTAACTCTGTGCAGTTTTGCACCGTAACTTTGCAGAAAGTAAAAAAAGACCACACTAGCAGTGGAAAAGCACCACAGAAAGAAACCAGCTTGAAAAGTCATAGGAATGAAGGGGGGTGGGGGCAGGAACTGCACATTACAAATGAGAGTAAAAATCATTAGTGTGTATTATTATACTGCAGAAGTCGTAGGCTAAATGTTACGTTTCAAAAAATCACCAGGAGGCTACGAATGGCTAACAGGGCTCAGGTTTCGATGCGCTTTGCTCCTACTACCCTTACGGTAAGGTACAGAAACTCTCGAATGGGGATTCCCCCAGCGAGGGGATTTCTTCAACGGGACTACAGCCCGCACCCTAACCTCCCCTACGCCCACCTCTGCAGGCTCCTGAAACTCTGGAAACAGCTCACGCGTGTTGCATTTGCAGGTACTGAATGAAACAGCAGCAGTTAGACGCCAGCCACCCAGGTCTCTCTGTCTAAACCAGAGCGGAGAATCGGCCTGCTGGATGCAACAGCTTGCGGTGCCTTGTGGCAGGGCTAATCCAAACGCGGCAACTTAAGAAATGTGGTGAAGTCTCAGCGAACGTGTTCTTATTTGTGGCAAGACCCGAAGAGAACACCACAATTGCTCTGAATATCTAAAGACAAAACCCAAACCAACTGCTAGGCATCTGATTTACACAGTTTCGTAAAAGCAAATATATACACGTATTTATGAAACGGCTATCCCCCTTCTGAAAAGTCACAGTAAGTATTGCAGCTGCGTATTCTATACATGTTCACACTGAGTATGACAGCATGCACTAAGCTACAGATAAATTTACTCCCTCTCAAAAGCCAAATTGTTTTACTCAGACTTATAAATCCTCTTAACTTCGGTAGGGCTTGCCAGCTCTCCATTCTGAAGTCCTGGAAGCTTTTACTTCAAGGAGTTGATAATACCATGATGACGTTCAGCAACCAGCACTCCCTTGAGTCGCTGTGTATCAAGTGTAAATCACGGCTATAAAATTTCACCTTGTCAATGTTCTATTGACAAAGCTTTTTTAATCAGAAAACTATTTTTGGGACAAGCAAATAATCAGTGAACCAAAACTATTTAGAGGCGCCAGTATGGGCAGTTCTGAAGTAACTGCAGCATGGATAAAACATCCTGGGTTATTTGGCATTCTGTTAAAAACGTATGGGCTATGGGCCTAGGTTTTACCCTGACCAGTCTGTTTTCCACAAAGAACCATGGACTCCACTTGACAAGGTGAAAATTACCCATATTTTGTTTCCTTCAAAATGTTATTTGGAAGCAACTTCAACCCCCTTATTTTAATATAAAAATAAATGAAATAAATTATTTAATTGAATTTTTTCAACTAAGTTAACAACTGAAACATTCATCATTCTTTACCTATTCCTGTTGGCATATTGTTAAAATGGCTCACATAAAATTTTGGTTGTTTGGTTTGGGGTTTTTGTTGTTGTTGTTGGTTGGTTGGGGTTATTTTTTGTTGGTTTGTTGGTTTGTTTTTTTTTTAATGCAGCAAATTGTGGAAGCAGCAGCATCACAGCAGTTCAGGAAACAACGGAGTAGAGCATAAAAATACACAGCATATACGAAATCTGCAAATCCCTTTTCAGGGGGCAATTGCACTTTAAAAGCTAACCATTAAGCTTTCTGATGCTAACAGCGCTGTTAATAGCTCGTGTTAATAGGTTATATCCTTGTTATGTGCTACTAACTTATCTGATTACAAACACTTCATTTCTAAGCACCTTCCATCTGAGGATCATAAAGCACTTTAAAAACTTTAATGAAGCTTCACAGCGCTCCTATGAGGACAGTATCCAGTATGAGCAGACATACAGATGCACACACATGCACACTGAGGCGCTTACAGTCACGGATTCTCTGCGCTCATATCTCAACCGAGACAGGAGAGGAGTGGGTTTTCTTAATTCACATTAAGCTGCACTGTGGTTCTAGTAACAGCTCATCCTCTCTTATGACCTTTTGTAAAAAAATCAGTAAATTAGGCTTCAACATTCTGTACAAAGGTATGCTTCAGTTGTCCACTGAGCTACCAGCTGTCCCCTCCAGTTGTCAGCTCAAAAAGGAGACCTGGTCTGCCTGATCTGTAGATCTTTACTCAAAAGGATTTGAGTTCATCCCGTTCTTAATGCAAAACTCCCTGTCTCACGAGCTGGCATTTTGTTTGGGCTCAGAGTCCTGCAGTTTGATGCCATATCTTACTTATTTTGAAAGCTGCCCCCTCACCATCCTACAACACTGGGAGCCACTCACTGGGCTTTCTACACTGCCCATACACATGTGGTAATAAATCCAAGACATATTTTTTCCCCTAGAAAATTCTTCATAGCTGATACTATGGAAGTGAAAAATTCAGCTCCTCCCAACACAATTCCTCAGTAGAAACCTCAAATATTAACAAGTTTCTCATAGTATGAATGCCTTCTCACCAACTGTCCTTTCTCCTGCTGGTGAAGAATTTGCTTCCTGAAGTACCAGAGGCAAAGAGGCAGATTTTTTTTGCCAAAGCGAACTGAAGCCTACATGCCCGCTATCCTGCTGCAGCTCATCAGTTAGATTTCCCTAGACCTCCCTCCCCCAATCCCAGAAGCGGGGTGCAGAAACAGATACAAGATAATTGGAGGCCCACTCCTTCCCAGCTCCCCAACCAGTCACCAGTGTACCAACCGACCTGGATTACAATCATAGCAAGCACACATCTTCAAGCTAACAGGGATCAGGAAGGTTCCTCTGTCTTTCCAAGGTAAAGTTAAAAGCATAACTCGTAGGGCGAGGACACGTACGTGACGACTAGGTTACACAGTTGCACAATTTCTAATAGTAAAAAGCAAGCAGAGAACCCCTTAAATTAAGGAACAGAATTAAGAGTCTTAACTATGCCTCATGTGCTCTAACAACTGCCATATGACTTGTTTCAAGAGAACAATTAAAAACATTAAGGTTAAAGCCAGTTCCAAGCATCTTGCTTCCTAGACTTGGTAACAACTAGGAACTTGACACAGGCATCTTGGTCCTGGATGAGAGACAGCTCAGATCACTTTTAAATTATTTTCTCTCAACAGATGGAGATGCTGAATGCCCACCACTTCTGAAAAGAGAAAGCAATAGCTAAAGCAGGCTGTATCAATGTACTATTTTTTTTAAAAGTCTTCACAGCAATTGCACATAAACTATTGTACAGGAGAGATGACCAGTCCTTCCACAGGAGTGCAAAACTTTAAAATATTCAAGCATTCTTCAAGGACAAAATACTCATTCCTAAGGAAAACTAGGGTTTTGTTTTGGGGTCCCCTCCCTTCACATTTAGTGAGTAGTGAGAGATTTTATGCTGCTGAATTGTGAAAACAGAGCTGGCAGGGGTTTTTAACTATAGTAACCAAAAGTATAATGTAAATTCTTTCTTCAGAGAAAAATACCATGACAAAAAGCATTCAACAAAGGAAAAGCTTGCTCAGTTGCTCAAAAGGTTACAACAGCTTTTGCATCCCTTACACAAAGGCACTTATCAACACATTTTAGGAATGGAGCATACCATCATTACTATTCAAAACATATATTGCAACAGTGCTTTGGAGCCATACTAGAGCTCAGATCTCATTCATATCTTGCCAGGGACAAAAGAAAGAATACAAGCATATGAAGTTTAAGAACTATACATGACTTCAAGGCCAAGCCGAAGTTCTGACCCTATACATTAATGAGGTGCTCACAGAAAGGTAACAAGTCGGAAGGAAAACTTCATTCACCGAACTTTGCGAACACCCACTTTTCCACCTTATTTTTCCTCAATCTGCCACAATACTTTCCCTAGCTGTTCAGCCTATAAATAATCCATTGCTATGCCTCCACTTCTTCAATCTCCTCAGATGCCCTTTCCAAAGTGGAGAAAGATGAAGCGTTCTAGCTGCCTTTTAAGAAAGCTGTTCCGTGAACAGCAAAGCTGAAAGCTCATTTCCTCTGAATCTCCATCAGACATCACCGAACCTCTACTTTACTGCATTAATCCCAGCTTCCTGCGCATCCAGTTCTCCTTTGATGCCAAGGCTCTACCAGTATATTGAGCCCTATGTTTTTCACCTCTTTCGGTACCTGGGAAAAAAATAGCATATGCTGCAGCTAATCCCAAAATGCACATGATGATTAGCTATTAGCAGACATAACCAGAACAGGTAAGTCTGTTGTTTTGTCCTGAAGCCCTTCTTTTAGTGGGGAAATTAATTTTGGCCTCTCCTCCCAGCAGTTACCGAAGTTTAATATAGTTGTAGTTACCAATATATTATAATTTCTTACTCCTCTGCCTCACTTGACCAAAACCAGACAAGAGACTCCAAACTTACTCAGGAAAGAGACAGACATGGAAAGCAATTGCGTGAGACTTAACCACTCTAGGAACTGAAGAACTGACCCCAAACATCATCTCCCATTCAATCAAGTCCCCCTCTAAATGCTGAATGAGTTTTTATATCCATATCCTTGGAAATTAGATGAGTACTTTCCAGTAACATAACATACAAGGGAACTTGTGCAAATTACTATTCTTAGAATTTGGTTAAGCTGCTCCTTACTATAATTTCAGAAGCTTTTTGATTTTGGAGACTCTAATCCTAACAGGTCTCCCTCTTCAGTTTCTAAAATCCTAAAAAAAAGCCAAAATATCAGTGAAATAGGAAACGTTTATCCATTTTATGCAATTCTATCTACACCAGTGAAAAGATAATACTTCTTTCAAATAAACAGATGTTCAGGGAAATAGTATAGGATGTCACTCTGCCCATATATACAGCAAGCGGTTGCTTTCTAATTATTATTTACAGCAAGTGAATTACCGTGCCAGTTAGATGATTGATTCAGCTGGCCTTCCATCAACAATAGCTGTTACTATGCATTTCAAAAGGAGTAATAACCTCACTGGTTAAATCCTTCCTTCCCCCTCTCTTTAAGCCTTGAAGCTTTAAACGTTTTTAAACAGATAGCAGCAAGCATTTTCATCTGACCAGGTTAGAGTATTTAATGAAAAACTTATCTTTCATGCCTATAAACACTTTACCACAACAGGACCCCTTCTTTCTATAGAGCCTTTAGACATGCTTCTACTGAAATTCAGTATACTCTACTTTGGTTTAGTCTGCTCATGCAAAACAGATTTCTTACAAATACTTATGGGAGGTCTCACAAAAGACAAGGAAGATTTTTGGACTGAAAGAGTTAGTCTTGTTCTAGTCCAGTGGGGTTTTTTCTTCTTTTTTTCCATCTAAAAGCAAACTATACTGCACTTAAGATATTTTAAATATAATTTATTTATTTATGGTGAGATAGACCAGTACCTCTCCACAAATTGTTCTAACTTGCCTTTAGTTTTAGTATGGGGAGTTCAATCACTGGCCCGGAAACCTCTGAGCAAAGGAATTTCTGGCATCTTGGTTGGAGCTGGCACCAACCCATTTTCCTTTGTTCTCATTAAAGGAACCATAATATGCTAAGTTAAGTTTAAAAAAAAAAAAAAAAAAGGAAAGAAAAAACCAACCCAAACCCCAAAGTAAAAGCAGAATACAAAAAGAATGCATATTCAGTGGATTACTGTAAGAGAAGATTTCCCTAATTTGACTCATTTTTCTAATAAAAGCACTATTTATTGCTACAAAAATCTGTAAACTGATCTTTCCAAGTGACTTGAACATCTTCCCCAAGTAATTTGCCTTCATGTACAGCCCTTCAGTTTGAAATGTCAGGAAAGGAACAGCTAGCTATCCATGCAGAAAATTCTACAAGCTGTAGCTGTCACAAATATTCAAATGCATGCACTAACCTAAAACCAGTATGACCCCCAAATATGATCTACTTCGATGAAGGGCAAAGGGTTCAGCAAATTCCATTATCTAGGTAGGAGTAAAAGAAATCATACCAGCTCTCCAGATCACAGCATGCCAGAGGAGCAATGCAGCTTAAGAGCTCCAAAATATCTCTGTAAACAAGTTTTTAATTCATACCATGTTGACCACAGAGCACAGTATTTTTAGTCATACAAAGTAAGTCGTATCTTCTACATGGAATAAAGAGCTTGCTTTTTTTCCCCTTCCCTCCCCTTCTTTAACCAATAATGGTCACTCCCTGAAGGGTCTAAATGGGATCTGCAACTTAGAAACAATTTCCTGGACTTTAAGACCATTTGCTTTTTTTATCCTTTAACCTCTGGTATCTCTAAGGCATAATGGATAGTCACCAAAATTTCTATTTTCTGGACACAGGACACAATAAGAGAGCACAAACTCTAATTTAACATACAGCCATTAGAATTTTTTTTCTTTACCCCCTTCATCTCTTTTAAAGGAAGATTCAACCATTCATTCAGGTGTACACACAAAAAATACCAAAGACTTGACAAATGTATTCATTCTTTGAAGAGAATGAAGCAGGGAAAAAAGCACTGAGCAACTTGAATTGGATGCAAAGGGGAAAAAAAGTAAGTTTCAAGACTGTAATTCATACACATTTATGATGCCACTGACTTAGGCACTAACAGTCACAAGAATTGAATCCTTCCCAAATCAAAATGTGTGGCACTAACTTGGTGTAGATACCACAGAAATTTGTCTAAACTAAAATATATTTTTACATTAAGAATATAGACAAAACACTAATTTAGACAGGGATCAAAATTATTAACAGCCCTTAAGTGATTTTGCTTGCTATTCTTTAACTCTGTTAATCTCACGCCTATGTAAGAGGTCATCCAACAGTTGCCATCTAAACAGCAATGAAATACTAAAGAGAAAGCAACGTCCAGCCATCGATATAAATGACACATCAGAGGGCAGTTACCTCAGGCAGCTCCTGAGGAAGCGGCAACTTGGGGGAGGGAACAGCCACTTATCAACCAGACCTAAAAAAAAAAAAAGACTTCTTCGACAATGAACTTGAGATGTCAATAGAGTGTCCAGTACATGGTTTGCTTCCTGGAAACGGACTAGAGGACCAGGGGGTGGAGGGGGTTGTGGTGTTTGAAATGAAGAGGCTCTGGGATTTTAGGATTTTGATCAGCATGGAAATTCTCTCCTCTTTGAATTACACTAAGCTCTTTAAGACAGTGGTAAATCCGAATACCCTCCTTTTTGCTAGCAATCAGAATTACTACTAACTGTAATAACTGAAGAAACCAATGGTATAAAGGATTAATATGTGACACCATCTACTCTGGGTATTTTGCAATATCATATTTGTAAATCAAGCAAGCTGGAATGGAAAATACACTTTTCTCTTGTTTTGGAAAGACAACAAATGTAAAGAAGTCTCTTGATCAGATGAGACTGCAAGTTCAGAAGCAGGCTTTGTGCACTTCCTATGCAGGACAAATACAGAATGGGGCGGGGGCAACCCAAACAAACTAGCCTGTTCTTACCACAAGGCATCTGGAAGAAAGCATTATAAAACCCTAAGGGAAAGAAGCGCCAAACTATCCACACTTAGAATGTACGCTGTCCACAAGTCTTTTTCTCTCTCAATATTCAGCAGCAGTGTAGGTTAAACACATTGGGGTAGCAAGTGGGAACTTAACTTCCAAAATTGACTTTTTTTTGTGTGATCTCCCATAGCTTCCCCCCCCAAAGTTATCTGGCTCGTGTTTTTCCACATATTGAGAAAATACTTTCAAAATAACAGTACACTAATGGTATAGGTTAGCTGAGGTACATGGAAAGCCTGTATCTGTTCGTAACAAAATAAAACATACAGTGCTATATGCTTTGCTACCTCCTAATTTATGGTTTGAAAACAGAAAAAAAATAAAATCACCGAGGAGGTGAAATGGGGAATCTTAAAAACCATGAAATGACAGAAGTGAATGCCTAATCTTAAATTATTTTTGCTTAGAATACTCAGACTAGAGTTTTCCTGTGGGTAATACCTCTAATTTTAAGTACAAAAAATTCAAACAATTTAAGTATAAAATGAAACTAGTAAAATATGGAAGACAATCGATGGAACTTTGGGCATTTTAAAATGTTTAAGTTTTAAGTATAAATTCTGCATATTTTTGTTACATTGCTCAGAAGTGCTGTATTTTAAAGGCTACAAGCCAGCTTTTGCAACATTATTGACTTAACCAGTCTAATGGCTAAAACACAGCTGCCTCTACGGATATAGAATTCACTGCTGTCTCATCCATTTCTACCCACTCAATTGCACAACAAAGGGCAATTCTTTTCTCTATGCCTCAGGGCCCCCTTACATACACAGGTAGAGTTGCCTTCAAATGCAAACTTGTCCTGCCACTCGCTTCACTGCAGGGACTACAAAGACTTCTACAATATGAAGGTGATGAAAATATTCCTTAAACCTTAGTTGGACCAGGTTTCATTTTAAGTTTTAGTCTAATGGTCTCGTGCTCTCAAATATCCTTTCAAATCTCCAAGGGCATAAAAGAAAAAAAAAAAATTGCAAAGTTAGAACTCTCCTACTCAGACGAAAATATCAGAGCTAGCCTGAATTACTCTTGGAACTGAAGCGTATTCTGACATGCTAACAGAACTGCAATACCCTGTGTCAAAAGTGTCTGGCATGGCCACTACAGACGTAGCACATGTCTCTGTGGTGCCTCATTAGGATGTTGAACAGAGGACTTCAGTGTTTGGGGACATTTCTCTAATGGGCTACTTATTCTACACATACATAGAACAATCAGCAACAAAAAATAAGCTACGCCTTTACTTTTGAACATAATTGTTGATGTTTTCATGGAAGGATATAATTTACCATGAATTTCAACAGAATTCGGGGTGATACCCAAATTTAGGTACCCAAAATCTGAGTTGATAATCTGAATTAAGATTTGGAGGATACTTTGAAAATCCCAGCATGAATCTTCTGAGAAAAAAAAAAGAAAAACAAACCCCACAAACCTTCTCCTTAGGTTGGTACTGTCAGTAAATTAAAAAAGTACAATGGCAGTCAAGACAAATCTCAATACCTTCTGTAATATGGAATGTCCTTAATTTGAAGTACAAGTAAAGGCTGATAGAGCTTGCTTTGCTTAGTTTTAAAATTACAAAACTAAAGGGGGGGGGAGGGATGACACGAGGGAGGGGACAATTCTGCTTTGTAAGCAAACATAGAAGTAAGTTCTAATGAAGACTGAGCACATGCACAGAAGCTGAAGATGAAAGAAGGAAGATGAAAGGCAACGGACATAAATTGCAACAAGGGAAATTCTTACTGAATATTAGGAAATTTTTTCCACCGTAAGGGTGATCAACATTGCAACAGATTGCTCAGAAAGGCTTCTAAAGTAATCCTGAGAGCCTGATACAACTTAGAAGTTACACCTAACCTTCAAACTTGGCCTTTTTGAGCATGGGATTGGATGAGATGACTTTCAGAGGTCCTTTCCAATTTAAATTGTTTACTTAGTCTATGATTCCTGTTTCCAGCTTAGACCATTTTAGGTACCACTTTCTTTTAATTATAGTGTCACATAAATCCAGGAAGACATTGAATATTCCTGTTGAAATGTCAAAGAATAGTGTAAGAGAACATTACCAAATTTAAAATAATTGTTATCATCACTGGTTGCAAGCTCTTTCTAGCATTTCTGCAATTTTGGAGGGTCTTATTAAAAACTCTTGCCTCAGAATCTATACATTAAACTATCAAGCCAGGGAAAAGGCTATCCAGTAAGTCTAACCAATGACACTTTGTAAATTACAGAAATTATCTTCTTTAGCTATCTTTCTTACACTATGAATCACTTCCAGATGTACAAATTGCCAAGACAGTTGAACACTTTTCTCTCCCATTACTACAAAACAGCAGGTGGGGAACAGCCAGTTGAGTTACTTCAGACAGCAGTAATAGCTTGGCTTACCTTGCTAGTAAACACGAGTAGGAACTTGGCTCACTTTCTGCCCAAATAGCTACTGTCAAACAGGGTTCTCCTGGTGTTAGTCAGGAACAGTAAAACATTTACATTTTTCTTATAAAAAGGAGTAGTTTTTCATTATACTATCCCTTTCACTAATAGATCAAGGTGCATAAGTTTCTGGTGGTGACAGCAGGGGATAATTTATTAGCACAGGCAGAGTTGCTAATTAATACTGCTAGAACTAGGAGCACAACCTCAATTTAAGGACTTGAGTAGAATTTTTTGTTTCTGCCCCAAAAAAAAGGTACAAAGAGAAGCGGCTCTCTGCTTATCAACAGAAGTTTGACTGTTTTGGAAAGATGTTTCTGGATCAAAGTTGCCCATTAACCTTTGCTCTAGCAGTAAAGAAGTAACAGCCCTACCTATTACAATTGGTAGGGCAGCAAGAACCTACTGCCATGTAAAATGCAAGTATTTGGGGGGAGATAATATTTACTCCTTAAGCATGGCAATTCAGGTCAACCTCTCCATAGTGGATGAAAATACGAGAGAACGCCTCTAACAAAATGCCACCTGCAATTAAACGCAACTGATCTTTCTCCAAACTTTTCCTTTGGAAGGGAGGGAAAGGGCTTTCTTGCCAAACATATTAGCCACATAACAAAATAATGTGGCCAAGTGTAACAAACAAACAGTTTTATCACAAACCAGAGAGCTGAGAGGAGGGAGGAATTTATAGAGTACTTAAAAACTGAGAAGTAACAATTTCGTAAGGAGTCCACTGGTCCTCTGCTGGAGTAGAAGCATGATCCACGATGGCCATTATCAGCTCCAGTAGTTCAGGCAGACTCGCTTATTTTGAAGTGTAGGTTTTTGAGTAAGTGGCAGCCCTCACTGCTGCACAACCTTGACAGTTTTGTGATACAGGTACTGTGCATAAACTGCAAATCCTTCACAGGACTTGAGACAAGTATGCCCATTCCATATTTCACTCACACTAAGGATTTTAAATGGGTAACTTCTCTTCTTCATAATTAGCTTCATTTGAAATCAATTATATTCATGCTGTAGATGATCAGTTGAAGATTTCTAAAGACCTCATATACAGTCTAACAGAGTAATTCCTCCCTACAAAGCTGACACATACCAGCAAACAGCAGTTCAATCAAAAAAAATCTTAAAATGCTACAACTTTAGTACAGTAAATCTGCCTGAAAGAACTGTTCGGTACAGCAAAAGAAAGGCTTGTGAGACTGAAACAGTTTGGGGTTTTTTTCAATACTAGAAGGGACTCTTGCAATGCCAAATTTTTATCCCCAAGTCAAACTGAGTTGAAATAGTCTGTTACATTTCAGAAGTGCCAAAAGTCTCCCATGGATGCTGGCTCCCTGTAAGCCATGATGAAGCTGTACTTTACCAAAGGAAATTTCACATGAAACCGGGGCTAGGTAAGAACTACTACTTCCACTGAAAGTCTCTCAGAAGCATCTTTTTATTTCTGTTCTTTCATTGCCTACTCACACTTTGAGTCCCTTGGAATGCAGTTATATATTAAGAAATTGCTGGGCTTGCCTAGGAGGTTAACACTTGCAGCCTGCTCCAGCACTCTGGTGAAATTAGCTCCCTTGCAGGTCAGTTGCTGAAACCGTATCTTCTGAATACTTACTTCCTCAATAATCTCAGTACAGTTACCCAGATCAGGCTGCCTATGAAAGGCAATTAAATTAACACGCCCAACTTTTCAGGAAAGCAAATCAGAAGCACTCCAAAAAAAAAATTCCCATCTGCATAACTGTAGAGGGAGTAAACTCTAGAAGTCTGATGAACAGCTGGAAAGGGAAGGAAGCATCTTCAGCTATTTCTACAGTGAATGCCTGACTCTACATTCAGACTTATGATCTACTTTTCACTAACAAGCTCCAATTTTATTTCAAACCAACTAGGAGGACAACAGTAAGCACAGACCCACAGAATCATTGCAGAGGGAAGGGATCTCTGAGATTGTCAATCCCACCCCTTTGCTCAAAGTATGATTAACTACAGCAGACTGCTTGGGGTTGTGTCCAGCTCGGTTCTGAATATCTTAAAGGATGAAGGTGACACAACCTTTCTGGGCAACCTGTTCCAAAGGTCTGACCACACTTCACAGTAAAAAAAAAAAAAAAAAAAAAAAAAAAAAGGGGGGTGTGTGTGTTTCCTTATGTTTGAGTGGAGTTTCCAGTACTTCAGTTTATGCCCATTGCCTCTTCACCAGGCACCACTATGAAGAGTTTGGCTCAGTCTTCCTTAGTCCCCTCATCAGGTATCTCTACACGTGGGTAAGAGTCTCCTCCAGGTCTTCTCGTCTCAAGGCTAAACAGTCCCACCTCTCTCAGCTTCTCCTCCTATGTCAGATGCTCCAGTCCCTCTCTGTGGCCCTTCACGAGGCCCACTCCAGGATGTCCAACTAATCCCTAATGAAAGTAAGTAATAATACAAAGAGGCAATTTCAGATTATTTTTTCTTTTCTTTTGAGATCTACAGCAAAAGATTTGAAATCAAAGCAGCTTTTTGGAGCCACTTAAGAATACAAATTACTGATCCTCTGCATGATTATCATTTGTTTATCTCAGATGCCAGATCAATGTCACTTACAGCAAGCGGTAAGCTCTATCAATACAGACAATTTTGTTCGGTAGTTGAAAATTTGAGACTGTGGGTAGAAAAAGGTGCAAGTGATTGATTTACATTTAAGAGCAATACCCACAATAGAATTTTGCTGGCATTATGCTACAGTTGCACAAAACAAGTATCTTCATCTCTCAGATGCATTACTAAAATTACACTTTTAGACTCCTTTCAAAATGATAACTACATTTTTAGGAATGATATTCCTTAGGGCAGGATCTGTATGACAAGATCCCAGATGCCACCTGAACAAAAATTTATTAGTTAATAGAATAAAAATCCTGCCTATCACTAATCTCATATTCTCTTTCTAATAACCACAGTTTTGGAGACGAGAGAGAGATAATGTTGCAAGGCACTTGAAAAGCTCTAATTAGAAAACAGGTCAACTGTAAAGTAATTCTAGCTTCCGCTTGCATCTAAAATAAGACAGCAAACACAAGGCTATGATAAATCCAATATAACATCCCTCATATTATTCACTGCAATAACGTGCTTTATTATACTGCTAGATAGCTAAAGAAACAATTCAGAAGAGCAGAAATCTACTTTTTATTTCTGCACTGATTTTTCTTCTGGAACTTTCTGAAAGCTTCTACTTGAACAAGCTTTGTATCTCTTGGTACCACTGTAAGTTGGGCAGTCTGAATAGAAAGAAATAGCAGCAATTACTTTGAGAATTTTGGCTCACTTCCATGACGGAAAGAATGTGCATGTTCAGCATTAGGACTTCCCTGAACTCATCTTGGCTACCTCAGAAACAGTTTCTCACTGTCGCAGATGCAGCGGACTTAACAGTTGCTAGTTTATCTACAAGGCAAGACCACCTTCATCCCAAGTCAAATCCCAGCCTTTCTGCAACAAGTGATCAGTAAGAACTTCCTCCTTCTCATGAGGAGACATCTAATTAGGCATAGGAAAAAAGAGTTCTGTGCTGTGGATTTCCCCAAGACCATCTTCTGCTTGCTCCAAAAGGCAGGTCAGGGAAAAAAATTAATTATGATACCAAAATTGAATTACCATTACATTAACTACAGAAAAGAATACAGAGTACCACCACTGCAATACTTCTAGGACAAGGCTCTGCTCTTCCCATCTGAACAAAAACCCAGGAAAAAACCCCAACCATTACCGGCTTTCAGTTTGAAGTCATATGAAAAAGCCATTTTT